CCCCCCCCCAATAAGTACCACCTAAAGGACGAGAGAAGGGACGGGTAACAAAGAGAGATAGGGATAATTACAACATGTGTTTATATATTTGTGTTAATGTGTTTGTTTGTGTACTCCACTCTGGCCATCTCCTCCAATTAAATAAACTCGTTTTCATTTCTCTTTTTCTTTTGTTAAGTTTAAATTAGGACAAAATTATTTTTCGTATTTAGCATAGTACACAAAAGTGAATGAAGTGTACACGTTTACACGTTTGTGTATAACTTACCGTCTGCTTTTCGATACTCCTTTACACTGTCCGAACGTACAGGTATAAGACACACTCTTAAGTTTGCTGCACATACCTAGGTACCCGTTTTTTCTAATCATTCAATAATTGCATCACGGCTGTAAACCTTAGTATATACAGGAGAATGTACGTTCATTTAACAGTCTGTTCATTACACTCTTCTATGTTTGCGGCACAAAAGAACCGTGGTTCGATTAGATCCTCGTTGTATGGAAGATATGTTCATATTGATATTTAATTTGTTCCTAAATTGAATTTTGTTTGCTCTCACCTGTCAACCTGAAAATGAATATTTCTTTGTAGTGAAGTCGAGCCTTTAAACGGTTGAATAGCATCTCTCGTAAAAGACCGTCAGTGTTCACAGCGACACTTATAATGTGTTCTCCTTTGTCGGCGGGTATAGTTTATATAATGGACAATTTACATACGGGTAGCCTTTTATTCATGATCAAATAATTTTGTCGGTCTCTATGGCCTTTCAATACGTCAGAGGGTATAATACTAAACTGTACAGTGTAGGTATGGTCGGACTACCAAATATGTGGAGCCATTTTGTAAGACAGTTACGGTTACTTTGAATTCTTTCTGAGATTTACAAGTGACATGAAGATACATGGGGATCACTGAGGTAAGATTATTGATATGTTTTCGACAAGATCTTAAGCTAGATAAATACATAATTGTTATGTAAACAAAGTATATAACTGAACAAAAAGTATTCATTAATTACTTTGGTTATCGAATGTTGACGAAGTCGTCGTCTAGAATCACTTGATTAATTTTAAAATCAGAGTCGACTGAAATGTTCCATTACCTGTGGTATTTTATTCCTTAATATATTGTCGTACTCGTTAGACTAAATACAAATAATTCATTGTCATGAGATATGTATTATTTGAGGGAGACAACTGACAACAATTTACATTTGTCAGTTTGTTCAGGGGGGTGGGGG